TGCGTGCTGTCTTTTCCTGCCGTTCTATCCATTCGTCTGCGAGGACGATATCGTACGTTTTTTTTTTCGAAAATATTAGTTATTTTCATTTATAAAGAAAATTCACTTGCCGATTTTGAATTGAAGCACATGGAAATAAAAAAGTATGCGCGCTTTATGCTCCACATCTTTTATTAATATAAATTACTACTATCTTTTCCATCATAATTTATTAAACTAGCCTTACCCTAGTTTAAAATTTTCGAACTGTGGCCGTTCCACATTTTCCATGCTTCGGATCGCCCACTTATTTCAGAGATTACGGTTCGGCCTACCACGATTGCAAATTAATTTAGCAATCTTATCCCACCCTTCGTTTTAACTTTCTGACTCCGGCTGTTCCACATTTTAATTTCTTTAGACCGTCCACTTCTTTAAAGGTTACAATTCGGCCTCGTAACGGCCGCATTTTATTATAGATTATTTAGGGTTAAAGAAAAAATGTGAGAAAAAAACGATGAAAAGCATTTAAGGAATTATTAAAATAGGTAAGAAATGTTTCGGTCCATTAAGTCGTATAGCAGTAGTAGAAGTGGCGAGAAAAGATAAACCATTGCTTTGCTTAGTTTTAACGGTTTTGAGGACGTGCTGTGTTCCAGCAATATTATAAGAAGTTTAGCATCAGAAATGGCTGCTGAATTAAGACAAATATGGAAATCTCACGTTTGACAGGTGTCGTAGTTATGTGAATTAAAGGAATGTGATGTGATATGAAAAAGCGAAACTCAAAATAACGAGTTGGCACGGCGCCAATAATGCTCCCATTTTGAAATCTAATTTATCCACACGTGTATATGATAGCTGATTTTAAAGTCTTTAGGTCCGAGCACACTCGTTATTTTGGAACGCAAAAAGTATGTTGGCAAAAGATTGACAATATGTTTGCGGGTTTTTTTGTGTGTTTGTATGTTCAGTTTGTTGCCCATTTCCAATTTAGCAACCAGGAGAGCTAGAAAGATCACGAGTATCCTCGGAGCAAGAGATTATATGACCTAAAGATTTTAAATTCAGCTATCATATACACGTGTGGATAAGTTAAATTTCAAATGGGAGCATTATTGGCACCATGCCAACTCGACAAACAGACAATAGCGAGTTTTAATTTTATTAGAATATTTTCCGCTCTCCTTGTTCGGACTCACAGGTTTAAAATAAGTTTCCACCTACGCTTGTTCCACGTTTTTTTTGGACGCGTCAAAGCTCAATTTACATTATTGTTAGCATTTTGTCGAGAAAGTTTTGACAGGCAAGGAAGTTTTGATCTGACAAAAATGTTTCCTAATACTCTGCAAAACAAGGGGCATAAGGCTAGCTTTCATCTGTTCCGATGTCTTGCTTAGGACAAATCAAATTTAAGTTTGAAAAATTGTTGGCACACTTCCAATTCGAGAATGAATCTGAGTAGAAAGTTCTACCTTTACGTGAATTATTACTGTCTGTTTGCGGACCCACAAACATAAAATGAGCCTTCAAGTACCTCAAACCACATGTACAAATACACAAAATCGCATTTTACGATAATCGGTGATGCAAAAAAGCTGAAATCTCATAAGACTTCGTCTATAAATCCACTGACTGAGCCACTGGATCTCCACTCAAAACATGGAAGAAGAGAGAAGCAAGATTTCCAGCTATAAGTGCACATATCAAACTGTAAAAAATAACCATTCATACTGTTAACGATCCCACTGTTTTATATGCACAATCAAGCAGTTTCACAGTTATTCGATGCAAAAATGAACAAAATTTTTATTTAGGAAAATGCAGAGCATGTTATTGTACAACAAGGTCTGATACTTGATTTGCTGAGGGATGAAAATTACGCAATAAGGGCAGATGCATGTCGTCGAACACTATTTATATTGAGCACACATTTCGATACATTCCCAGTGGATTTTATCAAGCGATCTTTCACGCAGGTATATGTTCGGCTGGTTCATTTGGGTACTTTGACCCAACTGATTTTTTTCTGGTTTGCGCTGTCTTCATATTGGTGTACTGTCTGAAAATCGTGAACTTGCGTGGTTCCTGGCGCGAAAATCGCTAATTTGAGAAAAATTAGCGCGAAAAATCGCCATTTCCTTAAAATTTCAGCCTCCTGGCAGGAATGCCAGGAGGCTGAAATTTTAAGGAAATGTTCCCGCTCATGCTCAACTCATCGAATCCAGCCACCAGGCATGTGTGCTTCTCATGCACGTGGGCTGTGGATTTTTTCGCGGTTTTGCTTCTCGCCATGTGCGCCGTCTTCAGATTGGCTTTCCCCCTAAAAATCGTACTGTATATTTTGGGAAATTGCATTTTTCAAGGTTTTCCTGGTTAGAACACAGAATTCTTCATTCTGCTAATATGCAAAATACAGTACGAAATACATTTCAGTGCTTTTTTTGGCTACACTTTATCGTTGTTTTTTTTTTCGGACTTCGATTTCTGAATATTTCTGGATAGTTCGTTCATTTTCGGACAATCGTAGAAACTAAACATTCCAATGTTTAG